TGGGGGGTGGGGGGTGCACAACAGTAGCCTTGCCAACATGTTGATCCAACCGGAAGCGGAGCTCAAAGGTCAGGGGGCTCAGACAGATCCTGGGGCCTCACCGGGTCGGACTCCTCCACATGTGCTCTTGCCAGAGAGGCAGAGAGAGATAGAAAGTGAGAAGCGAGAAGTTACCCCTTCTCCTCCATTCTCTACTCAGGATTTTAGCCGTGCACACACAAGCACCCGGTGTGAGTTTTAAGCTGCTGGATCTGGGACTCAAACCATGGCCAACTTCATGGGAGTCCAGCAATGTAACCATTATGCCATCTGCTGGTTTCTATCTTTTGTTTATATAAGGCTTGTGCATAGGGTGAATACGCTCTCCAGAGAGACAGAGAGAGAGAGACACTGAGAGGGAAAGTGAGAAATCACCTTCAGGGTGGGATGGCCGTGCCGCAGTCCCTTCTTTTCCATTCTGCTCTTGGGTTTGGGGCATGCATGCACACATGCCAGCATGAGTTTCAAGCCACTGGATCCAACACTTGAACTGCATTTGCCATGCGGGAGTTCAGCACCTTAACCACCCCACCACTTGCTGGCCCCTGCTTTATATATCTTAAAACTGCACTGTGTGGTGCATATAGATTTAGAATTGCTATGTCTTCCTAATGTTTTAGCCCTTTATTCATTATTTCTTCAAATATTATTACTCCTCTTTTTAAGTAGCACGTAGTTGGGTCTTCCTTTTTTCTTCTTCTCAAGTGTTTGGTGCACTCATGTTTGATGTAATCAATGGTTTGGTTGGGTTTACATCTGCCGTTTCTCTATCTTGTCTTCTTGTTGTTCCAAAACTGCCTTCTTTTTCTGTTGAAAAATTTTTAAAAATCCTTATTAACTATCCAAACAAAGTTAAAAAAATTAGTAATAGCTGACTATATACTGGCTCTAACATTTTGTTGTTACCAAAATAAAATTTAAAACATGCAGAATTTTATACGGAACAATGTTCATGAATTCTGATGGACTCACCCCGTACTATATTTGGTATCTGATCTTTCTTGTTTTGAAATACAGCTTTTCGGAAGTTTCTCTTGATTAACACATTGTACTGAGTGATTTTTCCCCATTGACTCAGAAAGGTAGAAGTGAGTGCCAGGTGATGTCTGGAATCATTGTTTTTCCTAAAGACGGAGAGGAAGTCCAGCAGACCAGGACTTTGATCAATCCCGTGGACTTTGTGTTTCTGCCACTAAAATTCCATTTTAGGTGATCCATTGGGATGAGAAGTGATGCCTTATTATTTCTTGTCTTTGGAAACTATAATATGTCAGTGTCATACTTATGGTGCCATTTGAGAACTTCAGTCTTATTAAAATATTGTGTTTTGATTCAGCAAGCCAAACCATGGCTGCTAAGGGAGGGTCCTGCTAGGGTCTAAGTTACCCTGTGACAAATTGTGATTATGCAGTGTCCAATAGATTTTTAGTTGATTTAAATATTTATTTTTTACTAGTTAAATAGTATACATATTTGTCTTTATTCATATCAATAGAACACATCAGTTCGACAGCACGGCACACTAAAGAAACCATTAAATGTTACCACAAAGCACAGGAAGTGACTTTTGAAACCTCTTAAGGATAAAAACACTATTTTGTTTTTGTTTCTTAAACAGATTTTTGTTATAGGGCACATGTGCTTGCCAGAGAGACAGAGACAGAGAGACAGAAAGCAAAAAATCACCCCCAGGGAGATGGCCATGCTGCAATTCTTTTTCCTTCATTCTCCTCTTGCAATCTCAGGCATGCACGCACACGTGCCTGGCGTGAGTTTTAAGTCACCAGTTCTGGGACTTGAACTGCTGTTAACTACGTGAAAATCCAGCAACATAACCATTATGTCATCCTCTGGTCCCCCAAATGCCATTTTGGATCCTCATAGTGTGTGGACAATCTTTATTTCTTTTTTTTTTTAATTGCCAAAGCGGGTGTGCACTCACCAGAGGGAGAAAGAAAGCGCCCTCTGGTGGGTTGTGATCACACCGCAATCCCTTTTCCTCCACCTCTCCATCCTGTGGGGATTTGGGGCATGTACACACCCAGGCCAGTGTGTTTTTCAAGCCTGGGATTTGAACAGCAGTCAGTCATTCATATCTGGGTTTCTGTGCACAGCACTTAACCACTGGGCTATGTATGGGGCTGGCCCTGGAAAACTCTTTCAGTGTGTTTACGGATGCACAGCTAAGTTCTACCAGGAGACACTGAAACAAAGGCTTAGTTACCTGGGGAGGAAACCAGCTCTCCTCTCACACTACTCTTCTGTATGTGATGTCTACTCTTGGAAGTGCGAAAGCAGGCTGGGTCAGACAATCATATTTCTTTTTATAACTGGAAATTAACTGTATAGAAAGAAGTGAATGTACGTAACATTTATTCAGTCAGCCAGTCATTAATTCAGCAATAATGACCAATCATGTTTTCACACTGCTTTGTGGCAGGCACTCTTATTAGCACTTTTTTTTTGGAGAGGGTTTTGCTATAGGGCGTGTGCGCTCGCCAGACAGAGACAGAGAGACAGAAAGCGAGAAATCACCCCGCAGGGGGGATAGCCATGCCACAATTCCTTTTCCTCCATTCTCCTCTTGGGATCTTGGGCACGCACGCACACACGCCCGGCATGAGTTTTAAGCCACCGGGTCCAGAACACAAACCGCGATTGACTACATGGGAGTCCAGCGACATAGCCATTTTGCTAACTGCTGGTCCCTCTTATTAGCACTTTTTAAACTCATTTAATCATCATGAGAACCATCCAGAGTAGGTAGTAGTATTATCCCATTTTAAGGATAAAGAAATGGAGGCACAGAGCGGTTAGTTTGTCTAGGATTAAGTACCTAAAATGGCAGAGCCAGGCCAGGAGGTGGAGTGGCAGATAAGGTTCTGGATACCACAAGGTCGACTCTGTGGTTTGAGTCCTGGACATGGTAGCCTGAAAAACATGCAGGACACATGTGTATGCAAGCCTAAAATCCCTTGAGGAGAATGGCGGAGAAGGGATTGCAGTGTGGCCATTCCCTCTTGAGGTGATTTCTCACTTGCCTTCTCTGTCTCTGGCGAGCACACTCACACTATAGCAAAAAAATCTAAAAAAATAAATAAATAAAGTGGCAGAGCCGTGATTTGATTCCAGGCAATCTGGCCTTGACATCTGTGCTTTTGCCCTCCATTAACCTGTGAAGCACTGAGTTCCTACCACACGTCAGGCACCACGCTAGGCATTGAGGATGCCACTGCGACCTGAAATGAGACGACATCTATGCTTCCAGAGCTTACTTTACTATCCAATGAGCAGGATACTCGCACTATCTCCCTTGTTAATCCAGTCAATAAACTAGAAAGCATGGTTAGGATTGTGCTTTCCTTGAGTGGACTACGAATCAGATTTTCTCAAAATCGTTACTTGGCGATCGTTTCTCTCAGCTCACTCACATGCATACTTGTAGGGACACAAGTTTACGCTG